CCCCCGCCTTCCCTTGAGCGGCTGCCGGCTCCCGTCGTGCTGGGACACGCTGGGCCACACGACAGCCCCGCGAGGTGGGCCGGCGCCTGGCGCAGAGGAGGGGGGGCGTCCTGGCGTTAAGTGCCGGGGAGGGGGAGGAGCCGCGGACGAGTGGAAGAGCCCCTCGCCTGGCCTGCGGAAGGGCCCCCTCTGGCTCGTGAGCGGGTCTCCCTCGAAGCTGAGTCGGTGTGAGCCGGCTCACAGTTTCTGAGCCTCCGGCTCGCACCTTTTTGTCTCGGCTCAGGGACGGGAGGGCTCCAGAGCAAACTGATTTATGCAGCGGCCAAACTCACAGCTTTAATGCCGCGGCCCAGTGGGAGAGTGAGTGTGAGCTAGCTCATCGTTTTTTAGCCTCCAGCTCACACATTTTTGTCTTGGCTCAGGAGGGAGGGCTCCAGAGCAAACCAATTTATGCCGTAGCCAAGTCGCTCGCTCACCACTTTCATGCCGGAAGCTCACACAGTTGAATTTTTGCTCACAGGATTCCACGGCTTAGAGGGAGCATTGCTCCAGGTGCGGCCTGACCAAGACAGCGTGCAGCGGGACTATCACATCTTGCGGTCTGGTCCGGTCACAAGGCAAAGAGGGCCACCCCCCCTTCGCTGAACAGCCAAACCAGAGAAAAGAGCCCTGCCCCCCCCCAGAAGATCCACAAAAATGCAGCAGCGAAAGGAATGTTACTTGTACCTGTTCTTCAAAGTATGCCACCTCTCAGAGTAGAATTTCTGCTCACAAGGCACCACAGCTTAGAGGGAGCATCGCTCGTGAGCAGTGCTCCCTCTCAGCCGTGGAGTCTCGTGAGCAAAAGTTCTGTTTGGTGAGCTGCTGGCGTTGAAGCGCTGAGCGGGAGATTTTCAGCTGCTCCATCAATCAGTTTGCTCGGGAGCTCTCCTTCCTGAGCTGAGACAAAAAGGTGGGAGCTGGAGGCTAAGAAACTGTGAGCTGGCTCCCACTCACGCAGCTTAGAGGGATCATTGCTCATGAGCAGTGCTCCCTCTAAGCCATGGAGTCTCGTGAGCAAAAATCCTACTCGGTGGGCTGCTGGCATTGAAGCTGTGAGTGAGCTATTTGGCTGCTGCATAAATCCGTTGGCTCTGGAGCCCTCCTTCCTGAGCTAGGGCAAAAAGGTGTGAGTTGGAGGCTAAGAGACTGTGAGCTAGCTCACACTAACTCAGCTGAGAGGGAACGCTGCTCATGTGACCAGTCAAAGACTTTATACCCACCCACATTATTCTAAAAACCCAAGACCAATGACTGAGCCGGAGTCTCAGATGTGTTTCTTCCTGTTTGCTGTCTCCCTATATTGTGTGAAACTTACACTTCCTTCCTGAGCTAAGACAAGAATGTGTGAGCTGGAGGCTAAGAAACTGAGTTGGCTCACACTCAGCTTAGAGGGAACACTGCACGTGAGCACAGAGGAAGCCGCTGGGTCCTGAGTCGGACCTTAATCGAGTCTCTCTGGGTCAGCCTCGTCTGCTTGGACTGAATCAGACCCTCAGTCCATCGAGGTTTGACTTGTCTACTCAGACTGGCAGTGGCTCTCCAGGGTCTCAGGCAGAGGTCTTTCATACCACCTACTACCTGGTCCTTTTAACTGGAGATGCTGCCGGGGATTGAACCTGGGACCTCCTGCATGCCAAGCACTACCACTGCTCTACCTCTGAGCCGCAGCCCCTTCTAATAATCCCCAGCATTGCCAGCAAAAAGGACCAGGCAGTGGGCAATGCACAAAGACCTCTCTCTGAGCGGACGATACTGATTTTGATGGGCCAAAGGTTTGATTCAGGGTAACAAAGTTTGCGTCCAGTAGCACCTTTAAGACCAACCGGGTTTTATTCAAAGTGTAAGCTTTCGTGTGCAAAGCACACAGATCTCAGTCTGAAGAAGTGTGCTTTGCACATGAAAGCTTACACTTTGACTAAAACTTGGTTTTTAGAAGAAGAGATTGGATTTCTCCCCGTCCTTCACTACCGGAAGGAGTCTCAGAGCGGCTTACAAACCCCACCCCCTCTCCACAACAGACACCCTGTGAGGTAGGTGGGGCTGAGAGAGCTCTGGCAGAAACTCCTCCTTTTCAAGGACAGCTGTTATCAGAACTACGGCTTGCCCAAGGTCATTCAGCCAGGTGCAAATGGAGGAGTGGTTCATCCAGCCAGGTGCAAATGGAGGAGTGGTTCATCCAGCCAGGTGCAAGTGGAGGAGTGGGGGATCAAACCCGGTTCTCCCAGATTAGAGTCCGCGCACTTAACCACGACACCAAACCAAAAGATGCCACTGGACTCAAACTTTGTTCTGCTGCTTCAGACCAACACAGCTACCTGCCTGAATGATTCAGGAATAGGTAGATTCATGTGTACTGACTAGCATTGTGTGTTAGCTTGCCAAAGCTCTCTCACCCTGGCTCTGCATTGGTTCTGTGGCCAAATGAAATGTGCAGGGTGTGTGTGTGGGATTTTTGCTCTGGTAGCCAAAAGGTAAAATGCTAACTCCTACATCTAAAGAAGAAGAGTTGGTTCTTTACCCCGCTTTTCACTGCCCAAATTAGTCTCAGAGCAGCTTACAGCTTCCTTTCCAAACCGAGAGCCAGTTTGGTGAGGTGGTCAGGAGTGCGGAGGACTCTAACGTGGGAGAACCGGATTTGATTCCCCTGCTGATGTGACCTTGGGTCAGTCATAAGTTCTCTCAGAGCTGTTCTCTCACAAGTAGTTCTTGAAAGAACTGTCTCAGCCCCACCTACCTGACAGGGCGTCTGTTGTGGGGAGGGGAAGGGAAAGGAGATTGTAAACTGCTCTGAGGCTCCTTTGGGTAGTGAAGGGCGGGGCATAAATCCAATTTCGTTGTCTTCTGTGAGGTAGATAAGGTTGCGAGAACTGCTCCTGAGAGAACAGTGACTGAACCAAGGTCACCCAGCTGGCTGCATGTGGAGGAGTGGGGAATCAAACCCGGTTCTCCCAAATTAGAGTCCACCATTCTTAACCACTACACCAAACGGGCTCTCGTCTGCATGTGGGCACCCAAGCACAATTTGCTTGACCTCTTCCTAGAAGACCTCAGCGGTGGCCCCACGTAACCTTGCTTGTGCGCATGCGCACGTCAATGTGCGTTCTACAGAATCAGACCAGTGGCCCACCGAGATCAGTAAGCCGCTCTGAGGCTCCTTTGGGTAGTGAAGGGCGGGGTATAAATCCAATCTTCTTCTCCTCTTCTTCTTAGACTGGCAGCAGCTTTTCCACGTCTCAGGCAGAGATCTCACACATCGCTTCCAACCTGGCCCATTGAGCCTGGGACCTACTGCGTGCTGCTAAGGAGATGCTCTAGCACTGAGCCACAGCTCCTCCCCATGCTGCCCATTGCATTATTCATTATAATTCATTATTATTCTTTATAAAGAACACTCCTGCGTTGGGGAAGTAGTGCATGGCGCCTTGGCGGTATGGCATGCAGGGCATGAGAAATCTGTCTCATCTTAAAATATGCCTTGAATTGGGTTGCATTGTTCCTTGCATAGATTAGAGTTGCCTTATTGGGGTCACACAGACTTAAGTTTAAGCAGCATATTCCTGTGACCTTCTTGCTGTGTATGAGTCCTCCTGTCGTGCTGATTAGGGTAGAAGTTGTCCCTAATGGGGCAGGAAGGGCTGCATTCTTGCACCAACCCTCTTTCCTTTGTTTCCCAAGCTTTCTCCTCTGATGGTCTCATCTCATCATACATCATACATGAGAGCCAGTTTGGTGCAGTGGTTAAGTGTGTGGACTCTAATCTGGCAGAGCCGGGTTTGATTCCCCACTCCTCCACTTGCACCTGCTGGATGACCTTGGGCAAGCCGTAGTTCTGATAAGAGCTGTCCTTGAAAAAGAGCCGTTTCTGTCAGAGCTCTCTCGGCCCCGCCTACCTCACAGGGTGTCTGTTGTGGGGAGGGGGAGGGAAAGGAGTTTGCAAGCCGCTCTGAGACGCCTTTGGGTAGTGAAGGGCCTGGTATAAATCCAATCTCTTCTTCTTAAATTTCTGCATCAACCAAAGCTAGTCATGTTTCCATCCCCCATTTTCTGCAGGCTTGCTGGTGGTCAGTGCTTTTTCTTGCCCCTGTGCCTAAAGCCCCCTTCCTTAGATCTCCAGGCCCCCTTCTCGGTCTCTGTGAAGAAATGCATTTTTTTCTTTGGAGGTTTGAAATGAGCAAAACCTTCACTCTTTAAGTTTCAAAAGGTATTTTTTTGCTCTTTGGGCAGAGAGCAGGCAGGAAGGGGGGGGGGGAGGTCAGTTCAATTGCTTTCCAGACTACCTCAGCCCACTTTCATACAAATGCTAATAGATCTAGCAGGAGAGATAATGGGTGAGTCAATCTCTCCCGCTTTCCCCAAGCAGGAAACAGAGATTTGGAGGAATTAAATACTAGAGAGACTACAGGAAGTGAAATTCTGGAAACTTCCAGAAAAGCTTTTCTGACCTGGTTGTGGGGGGGAGGGGGGAGGTAAAACTCAAGGGAGGAAGGAGGAAGACCTATTTTGTGCTGGGTCCATCAGAGTAGACAGAACTCTTAACTGTGGTCTGAAGGAGGCAGCCATTTAACCATGCGCCGTTCTGGAGAGCCACAGAAAGCTTCAAGGTAATTGGAATGCTGTAGAGATCTGTAACTTCGTAAAGCTAGGGAGCCTGTCGTATATTTTAACATCTGATAGGGGATGTAAAAAGAGAGGGACAGAGAATTTATGTTCTACCCATTTGCTTTGAATTCCTTGCTCAATCTGCTGCTGTGCTGAAAGTATGCTGTGAACATAAATACCTTATAAGTTTGGATGCCAGTAGTGGTTCTCTGTACCACATAGACCTCCACTGTCTTGGACACACTGTTTTAAAAGGGAATGCTGGGGGAAGGCAGGCAGTTGGCAGGCAGCTATTCCTCCAGGGGTGTGCACGGCCACAAACTGTCCCTGTGGTGACCAGGCCCCGGACAGCCAGAGAGACAGAAGCAAGGCCTCAGAACTGGGAAGGGAAGCGGGGCGTCCTGACCTTGCCAGCGGGGATTCCGATAAAGGTCGTGTGGTGGCGGCAGGCTATCCAAGAGAGAAAGAAAAGCCTCTCCAGGTGTTGGGAAAACTTTGGGGAGTGGGTTGGAATAGGGCCTGAGGGCCAGAGGAGGCCTGTTCTGCCACAGTCTCCTCTGAGCAGCCATTACTTTCTTTGGTGTAGGGGTGAAGTGCGCGGACTCTAATCTGGGAGAAGCGGGTTTGATTCCCCACTCCTCCACTCACAGCTGCTGGATGACCTTGGGCAAGCCATAATTCTGTCACAGGTCTCTCAGCCCCGCCTACCACACAGGGTGTCTGTTGTGGGGAGGGGAAGGGAAAGGAGTTTGTAAGCCGCTCTGAGACTCCAAGTGAAGGGCAAGGGGAATAAATCCATTCTCTTCTTCAAGCCTTTCCTCAGTACCAAGCCTCTCTTTGCCTGCTTATATCGACGCTTTTCTCTGCTCATTCTTAATTTGATGCCTTATTTTCTTTATTTATTTTTCGTATTTGTATCCTGCCCATCCCACGAGCGGGCTCAGGGCAGGTCACGTCATCTTAAATAATACAATAAGGTATAAAACACAATAAAACATTTATATGAAACATTTAAGATCAGTAGTTTTCGCTGCTGGATAAAATTCTGACCCATTAATACTGATGGGTGTGGCCGGTTGTTGGTAGATGGGTGGCCAGTAGGTAGGAGAGAGCAACCTTGAGGAGGCCATACGTGGACGACCGCTGCCTCAACCAAAAACCTTGCGAAACAGCTCCATCTCGCAGGCCCTGCGGAACGGAGTAATCCCCTTTCCCCATTCTTGTTTCCGCAGTGCCTTCGTGCACACTTTTTAAAAAATGAGCTGAGCTGGCAGACTGCTGTCCTTCCCGATGGAGAACTTCCTTGGGCCAGCTGTTGAGTTAGATGGGCTGTGTCACTCCTGTGAAGCGGCTGGTCGTATTCACTGCAGTACGATTCCTGGTACAATGGGATGTGTCTCTTTGCTGTGTCCGTGGGAATGATCATAGCGTCTGGCTCCAGCTATTTATGGGCTCATCACATTACTGGGGCATTTGGACTTCTGATAAATGGCTAGACTGTCTCCCATAAGCTGACTCTCTTGAAAAGGTGGCCGGCATCCAGCCCTTGGCAGTTGAGAGAGGCTTCCTGTTGATCACAGGGTGAAGAGGGGATGGGTCCTTTCATTCCGTTTGCCACTGGGTAACCCGAATCTCTTCTCATTGAATTTTGTTCAGAAAATGGCAGTTAACGTGTATTCCACCTCGGTGACGAGCGACAATTTGAGTCGGCATGACATGCTCGCCTGGATCAATGAGTCCCTTCAGTTGAATCTGACAAAGATCGAACAGCTTTGCTCAGGTAAGTGGAGGGCTGAGCGTCTGCTTATGGTTTAAATGCATTTCTTTTTCCATTCAAAGAACCAGCTGGGGATGGAGTATCAGACTGGTGTTGATGAATTCTCTGGAGGGGTGGGGATTGCCTGTCTGCCTGCCTTTTATCTCAATTTTTGAGACTGCACAGGAATAAGTAAAGTAGAATGTAGCACAACTTGCTTGTATGATCCCCATGCTTGTATTTCAAACCTTTTTCCATCTGCACTTTGCTTGTAGGATAGAGTGGCATAATCTGGTTTTGGGTGGAAGATTCCAAGCCTTGAGCTAAATCTTCCTTCCCAATTCTGCATTTCTTGAAAGGCAGCAAGTCGAACAAGTGTCGTAGGGCCAAGTGCGGTTGTACACGTGAGTTGCATTGTGTGCTGCTGGGTGACTTTGTATAAAACCTGCAGAGCACAAAACTTGGGAGTTGTTCCTCTGCAGCTTGTTTCGGTCTCTCGGGGTTGCCGGCACAAGGGAGGCTTTTGCAGTGAAGCCAAAAGCCCAGAGGAGGTGAATCCATAGTGACGGTAACTGAACTTGCGGCTTGCAAAGCTATGATGCAGCTTGTCCAAGAGAGGATGTATTGTAAGCTTTGAGTAAGTGGTCTAGGCGAAACATTATTGAACAGACCGGAAAAGTAACCGGAGTGTAAAGTGAATCTGGTAGTGCACTGGAGGACTACATTTTTTAAAGAAATGGTTTTCAAGTACGATTTGGGCGATGAAGAAAATACCAATCCACATACAAAAGAACCTCCTCAGGAAACAATCCATATAACAAAAGAACCTCCTCAGGAAAGCTCCTGCATTAGCATGTTCACAGCCTGAGGAACTCCTACAAGATAATGACTCAGCCCTACCCCACCTTCCTGAGGAGATATTAATTACCTGCCTACCATTTTTCTTCTCACCTTGACACAGAGAGTACTCCATCTTTCTGTGTTATACCTCTGAGGATGCCAGTCACAGCTACTGGTGAAACAGCAGGTTCTCCAATGTCAAGACCATGGCCACACAACCCGGAAAATCTACAGCTACTAAGGAAGAAAAGGTTGCTTGTGCTCCATATATACAACTATGCAGGAGAAGTATAAAGCATTGCAAAAATGAACAGATAGCGAGAAAATGTGTTACGGCCCTGAGCAGCATGAATACTCACTTAATGTGGGTGAACAAGCGTGGCCTTTGTCTGTGGTACTCCAAAAAAGGGAAAGAAATCTAAACCAACCAAGCACAAACCTCCAAAGGAAGTTTAGAAAACTTATTGAGGGCCAAAAGTTAAAACCATAAGTATACAGAAGAGTGTTTATTTCAAAGACATATAAAAACCTTGTAGGGGCCCAAATAAAGCCTCATAAAATGTTCAGAGTAGCAAATACACAAAGAGGAACAGTGCTATGACCTGACACATTTCGGCTCACAAGACCCTCCTTCAGAGGTCAAATAGTACAAAATGCACCAAGCAACGGAGTCCCTGTAAGGCGATAAGCAATAAACAGAATGGGACCAAAAATGGAATGTTCCAGTATGGAATCGAGTGACACACCAAATGGTTCCTGTTTGGGGCCACGAGGCAATTTTATTTGCACTCTTAGGGCCTAAACTGGAAAGTACACATTGATAATGATATTATTTCCAGTATATACAACTACTTCTGACGCAAGGCCAGATATATTTGTGGCCCCGAATAGGAACCTTTTGGTTTCAGAGGGTGTCATCATGTGGGCTGTGCAAGCAAAGGCCTAGCAGGCCCGGGAGCCTGACTAGCAGTGGGAGGAGGCCAGGCCTACAACTCCCAGAAGCCCCTGAGAGGTTTTGGCGCCAATTTTAGCCCAACACAGAGAAAGGGGACTTATAACAAAAGAGCTGGTACACAAGAAGAGTTGTTCTTTCTTCCAAGAGAGGAGAGCCAGAAGGCAGGGAAGAGACCCTCACCCTGAGAGGAAGGGTGAGCAGACTCAGGCCCCACTGAGACAGTAGACTAGGGACTGTGAGTCTAGTCACGTTAGGGCATTTGGTTTCTTTTCTCTTCACCCACTTATTGCTGTTGTTCTTGCACCTTGTTTGTTTCCTATATTGGGCTGACCTGTAAAAATAAACCTTTTATTCGTTGTTTACTCTGCCTGGTCCTCACACCTATTATTTGGCCAAATTAGGGAGGTCTGAAGGTCTTGGGAGGGGGCTCGGGGCCTTCCCAAGGAATCCTAAAACCAGAGTGGTGGCAGCGTCAGGTGACACCCCACCGGAGCCGTGACACAGGGTAACCATGTTGGCTTGCAGTAGAACACCTACATCCGAGACTAGTAGCACTTTAGAGACCCACAAGGTGTTTGGGGGTACAAGTTTTCAAGAGTCAAGAGCTCCCTGGCAAAGGCATCTGACGAACGGAACTTTGACCCTCGAAAGCGCATACCCTGACAGTCCTGTTGGTCTCTGAGGTGCTCCTGAATTCAAATCTAGCCTTACCCATGGCGACACGGTGGGGTGTCTGCTGACTCCAGAAGAGGGAAACACTGGCATCATCGGGGGAAATGGTGTGGGAGAATTCACATGGAATTCACTGCCACAGGAGGTGGTGGCAGCTACAAGCATGGGCGGCTTCAAGGGGGAGTTGGATAAACATCTGGAGCAGAGGTCCATCGGTGGCGATTAGCCACAAGGTGTAGACGGGAGTGATGCTCGGTATTGTTACACAGATAGATTCCCAGTCAAAAAGAAAAGTCAAAATGAGGAGGAATGTTCATTGATTTTAATTGCAATTAAAACACCTGAAAGCAGGCCAAAACTTAGCCTATCAAATATTGACTGCTTTCTGAGCACAATAAGGAAGTAACATGAAGTTTTATACCCAGAGTGACATGGTTAAGAAGGTAACATTCAAAAAGCATAATTGGTTACAAAGGGCAGTGCATAATTTGAATAATATTTTTATTTTTTTATTTATACATTCCATTTATATACCGCTCTAACCTTTTTGCCAGTCTCTGAGCGGTTTACATATAGTTCCAAATTCCAGTTCATCTAACTAGGGCCACATTGTCAATGGGGTAGTGTCTGCCTACTAGCACCCCGGGCTTGTTGGTTTCCGGCTTCCTCCCGTGGCTCCGGATGTCGGCGTTCTTCTGGTGCCCTTCTGGAGCAGATCTTCTGGGAAGCTTCCTCTGCACGGCCCCGTGTCGGTTGCAGCCACTCGTTGGTCAAATATGAAGAAAGGGGTGCCTACATAATATCTTAAAATGTTTACTTAACCTGACCTGAATAATATTGGCCAAGGATTCTTCATACCCAAGCAAAGGTGTCCCCCCCCCCCCCCCCCCATCATACAAAACTACAATATTCTTGGTGCTTGGGGGAGGGGGCAACAGTGGGAGGGCTTCTGGTGTCCTGGCCCCACTGGTGGACCTCCTGATGGACCTCCTGATGGCACCTGGTATTTTTGGTCACTGTGTGACAGAGTGTTGGACTGGATGGGCCATCGGCCTGATCCAACATTGGCCTCTCGGATGTTCTTATATGGAGCAGAGGTCGATCTGTGGCTATTAGCCGCAAGGTCTAGATAGGAACTCTCAGTCTGGGGCAAGGCATGCTCTGTATTCCTGGTGCTTGGGGGTGGGCAACAGTGGGAGGGCTCCTAGTGTCCTGGCCCCACTGCTGGACCTCCTGAGGGCACCTGGTATTTTTGGCCACCGTGTGACAGAGTGTTGGACTGGAGGGGCCATTGGCCTGATCTAACATTGGCTTGTCTTATGTTCTTATGTTTAAGAACTGGAAAAGTAATACAGTGGGAGTGGGTAGTGATTTAGTAGCTGGTGGATGGGTTGATCTTGAATTAAACGAATAAATGAAGAACTTGACTACTAGAAGACCAAAAAAATAAATAAATCCTGTTAACTTTGTGAAGAAAGCAGTTAGCATAGAAGGGAAAAGAACTGGGAGCTTCTTATTTTTGAAGCTGAAATGGCCAGACAGAGTAGTGCAAGGTGTTCGATTTGCCAAAGCCATTGGAAAGGTCAGGGCCCTTGGTAGTTCCTGAGGACAGGCAGCTGTGGACTTTGCGTGGTGATGCCTCTTGTGGGTGTAAGCAGGCTGGCTCTTTCTCTGGTCTTCTCCTCTCCTGTCTTAAACACATTGTTTGGTCATAGCAAGTTCCTCTTTCTGCTGTTTAGGGAGTTTTGAGCAATGTGATTTCCTCAAATCTTTTACAATTGTGTGTGTGTGCTGTGAGCAGGCTGACATTTCAGAGGCATATCATATGAGTGTGCAGGAGCAAGGTTCTAGAAAGCCCAGTTCTTCACTCCGAATTAGTAACACACACCACGAACCCCCTTGTGCATCCTTCTCCTTTGATTTAATGGGGCTTGCCCAGGACATGTGGGTTGTGCCCACTGTGTGGGACATTTGCTTTTTTTAAAAGTTTAAAACATTTTTAAGCTGTCGTTCCACCCAATTTAGGGTACCCAAGATGCCGAACAACAAAAACAAAAGCTTTGAAACACATCTCTCTCTGTCTCTCTGAGAGCCAGTTTGGTGTAGTGGTTAGGAGCGCAGACTCTAATCTGGGAGAACCAGGTTTGATTCCCCACTTCTCCACATGCAGCTGCTGGTGTGACCTTGGGTCAGTCACAAGTTCTCTCAGAGCTGTTCTCTCAAGGGCAGTTCTTGGGAGAGCTCTCTCAGCCCTCCCTACCTCACAGGCAATGTTCCCTCTAAGCTGTGGAGTCTTGTGAGCAGAAATTCTACTTCGTGAGCTACACCGGCATTAAAGTTGTGAGCGAGCGATTTGGCTCCTGCATCAGTTAGTTTGCTCTGGAGCCATCCTCCCTGAGCCGAGACAAAAATGTGTGAGCCGGAGGCTAAAAAACTGTGAGCTAACTCACACTCACGCAGCTTAGAAGAAGAAGAAGAGATTGGATTTATACCCCGCCCTTCACTTGGAGTCTCAGAGCAGCTTACAAACTCCTTTCCCTTCCCCTCCCCACAACAGACACCCTGTGAGGTGGGTGGGGCTGAGAGAACTCTGACACAAACTGCTCTTTTTCAAGGACAGCTGTGCCAGAGCTTGTGACTGACCCAAGGTCACATCAGCAGGTGCAAGTGGAGGAGTGGGGAATCAAACCCGGTTCTCCCAGATTAGAGTCCGCACACTTAACCACTACACCAAACTGGCTTAGAGGGAGCATTGCTCACAGGGTGTCTGTTGTGGGGAGGGGAAGGGAAAGGAGATTGTAAGCCGCTCTGAGACTCCCTCAGGTAGTGAAGGGCGGGGTAGAAATCCAGTCTCTCTCTGTCTGTCTCTCTGTCTCAATAAATGTATAGACATGTGAACAGGAGTGAGAGTCTGTGAGGGAAACTCAGACAGAACAGAAGTCTTCATCAGCTGGTAGAAGACAGTGATCGAAGGGGACAGATGAATCTCCCTGGGGAGGGGATTCCATAATTTTGGTGCCATCACCAAGTAGTCCCTTTCTTGGGTTGCAGCCAGTCTAGCCTCAGATGATGGAAGCCTCCAAATATGGTCTGGTAGAAGGGAGTGGACAGTCCCGAAGTCACGCTGGCCCCAAGCCTCAGAAAGCTTTCTAGGTCAATACCAGCACCTTGAGCTGGGCCCAGAAACAAACGGGGAGCCTGTGTAAGTGGAGCAAGACTGGAGGGACAAGGTCTCTCTGAGTTGGAATTCTGGCCGCAGCATTCTGTACCAGTTATAGCTTCTAGGCTCTGGTGACCAGAGTTGCACACAGTATTCCAAATGGGGTCGCACCATCGATTTATATAGGGGCATGATACTAATAATCCCCATCATAGCGTTGGCCTTTTTTATTGCGGTCACACACTTTCGACATTTTCAGTGAGTTCTACTACGACTCCAAGATCTCTCTCTCTCTCTCTCTCTCTCTCTCTTTCTCTCTCTCTCTCTCTCTCTCTCAGACCCCATCAACGTGTATTTATAGTTAGGATTTTTGGCTCCAATGTGCACCACTTTGCACTTGGCCACATTGAACCCCATTTGCCATGTTGACGCCCAGTTGCCCATCCTCGACAGATCCCTTTGGAGCGCCTCACAATCCTCCCTGGTTCTCACCACCCTGAACAATTTCATGTCATCCGCAAATTTAGCCACTTCACTGCTTACTCCCAACTCCAAATCATTAATGGAACAAGTTAAAAAGCAGTGGACCGAGTACTGATCCCTGCAGTACCCCACTGCTTACCACCCTCCATTGAGAAAGTTGCCCATTTATACTCACACTCTGTTTCCTATTAAGTAGCCAGTTTTTAATCAACAAGAGGACTTGTCCTTTTATCCCATGACTATTGAGCTTACTTAGGAGCCTTTGATGAGGAACTTTATCAAAAGCTTTCTGGAAGTCAAGGTAAACAACATCTATTGGATCCCCCTTGTCCACATGTTTGTTCACCCCCTCAAAGAACACTAACAGGTCAGTGAGACAAGATCTTACCTTACAGAACCCATGCTGAGTCATAAGAACATAAGAGAAGCCAATGTTGGATCAGGCCAATGGCCCATCCAGTCCAACACTCTGTCACACAGTGGCCAAAAATAGTCTCCCTTAATAGTTTTTGTTCATCAGTGTGCCTACAAATTCTCTCCTTAATAACGGTTTCCACCAACTTACCCGGTATTGACGTCAGACTGACTGGCCTGTAATTTCCCGGATCTCCTCTGGAACCCTTTTTAAAGATGGGAGTGACATTAGCTACCTTCCAGTCCTCAGGAATGGAGGCAGATTTTAATGAAAGATTACATATTTTTGTCAGGAGATCCACAAGTTCACTTTTGAGTTCTTTCTCCTGATGGCGCGCCTCTAAGATCAGCACCAACCTTTAGGAGTCTGGGTGTGATCCTGGGTATCCATCCTGTGCTGTGTGAGCTGCACTGGCTTCCAGTGGAGTACCGGAACAGGTTCAAGGTTCTGGTGTCAACCTTTAAGGCCCTTAGTAGTCTGGGACCCACGTATCTTTGGGACCGCCGCTCCCAATATACCCCAATATATCCCCAGGAGACCGTTGCGCTCAGTAGATCAAAATCTACTGGTGGTTCCCGGCCCGAGGGATGTCCGTCTGTCCTCGATCAGAGGCAGGGTGTTTTCTGCCCTGGCCCCCACCTGGTGGAACTCTCCGTGGAATAACATCCACACCCTGTGGGACTTGATGCAGTTCTGCGGGGCCTGTAAGGCGGAGATGTTCTGCCAGGCGTTCGGTTGAGGATAGCGATCGTCACATCCTTCTAGCATTCCCGCTCCCTGTGAGGCAACGGCACTACTGAAATTCTTAGCATCATCTTTTTAGGTAATTACTGTGCTCTGTTGTTGTTAAGCTCTGTGGCGCCCTGCTTATTGGGGAGAATGTTTCTCCTTTAAGACCACACTCTATGTACATTAACTTAGTAGATTCCTGCTATGCTTCAGAGGACTGTGTGGCCCTGAGGAAGGACTGTTCTGATTGCTGGGATAAGTTTAAAGAAAAAATGATTTATTTATAAAAGAACAAAATAGGTTTCTGGGTATGGTTGAACTGTTGTTGAAGAAAGAAAATGTAACTTGACAAGGCTTGGCGTCCCACACAGTCTCTCATACACCAAAACTCAACTCTGACAGGCTTATCTCTCTCATATATAGCCACACAGGCTGAACTCTCTTGCTCATATATAGCCACACAGGCTGAACTTTCTCTCTCATAGCCACACAGGCTAAACTTTCTCTCTCATAGCCACACAGGCTAAACTTTCTCTCTCATAGCCACACAGGCTAAACTTTCTCTCTCATAGCCACACAGGCTAAACTTTCTCTCTCATAGCCACACAGGCTAAACTTTCTCTCTCATAGCCACACAGGCTAAACTAAGTTCCAGCTGCTTCGTCTGTCACACAGAGTCTCTCACAAACTCTCTACACTCGTCTCTTTCAGAACACAGAATCACCTCAAAGACCTCACTCCTCCCACACTCTCAGTCATCAGCCAATCACATCACACTTGTCTCCCTCTATCACTCTCCTTACATTACTGCAGTTAAACTAAACATTTAAAGAAATACTCACACCAAAGCAAGAAATCGTTACAAGCACTTTTATGGATTGTGTGGCGTTATCACGTTGCACACACTGCCCTGAGCCTTGCCTTGTCCAGGGAGGGTGGTTTAAAAATCTAACTAATTAAATAAATTAATGCTCACAAGGTGGCCACACCAAGGTTGTGAAAAAGTCTCTCCCTCAGCCCAGTAAGGGGTGAGAGGACTGTAGTGTCTTGTCCGTGCTTGTCCGATGAAACGCCGGTTGCCTGCCTGCCTGCCTGACCTCGATTTACAGTAGTGAATGCTGTGACCATTTGTCAGGGATTTTCACGCTCCAGGCAAGTTGCGGTGGGTGCATTTGTCACACTGAGCTTAGGTGCAGGGTTGGTTCTGTTCCGGAGATATGCTGGCAGTTCTGCAAGGAAAGCTTTTTCGCGTTTCTTTGCCCTGGGGTGTTCTAAGCTTCGGTCATCACATGGATGTCTCTTATTCCCTTGCCAGGTGCTGCTTACTGCCAGTTCATGGATATGCTCTTCCCTGGTTCCGTAGCGCTGAAGAAAGTGAAATTTCAGGCAAAGTTGGAACATGAATACATTCAGAACTTCAAGGTCCTACAAGCAGGGTTTAAGAGAATGGGCGTTGACAAAGTAAGCTTCCGTTCACTTGATTCGTCCTTTGGAATGCCTGTCCTTTAGGGGAACCTGTCCTAGGTGCTGCTGGGCCTTCTCGGTCGATCTTCCTCTAGGTGCTTGCCAGTCACCTCACCAGCTAATATTTCCCAACGAACAGGTGGTCAAACTGGAGTTCCGCTGGCCATAAGAAGAAAAGATTGGAAGAAGAGGTTGGATTTATACCCCACCCTTTACTTACCCAAAGGAGTCTCAGAGCGGCTCGCAGTCCCTTTCCCTTCCCTTCCCTTCCCCACAACAGACACCCTGTGAGGTAGGTGGGGCTGAAAGAGCTCTCTCGAGGACTGCCCTTGAGAGAACAGCTCTGAAAGAACTTGTAACTGACCCAAGGTCATAAGAACATAAGAGACGCCAATGTTGGATCAGGCCAAAGGCCCATCCAGCCCAACACTCTGTATCACACAGTGGCCAGAAATACCAGTGCCATCAGGAGGTCCACCAGTGGGGCCAGGACATTAGAAGCCCTCCCACTGTTGCCCCCCCCCCAAGCACCGAGAAGCAATGCTCCCTCTAAGCTGTGGAGTCCTGTGAGCAAAAATTCTACTTTGTGAGCTACCGTCATTAAAGTTGTGAGCGCACGATTTGGCTGCTGCATAAATCAGTTTGCTCTGGAGCCGTCCTTCCTGAGCCAAGACAAAAATGTGTGAGCCGGAGGCTAAAAAACTGTGAGCTGGCTCACACTAACTCAGCTTAGAGGGAACACTGCCGAGAAGACAGAGCATCCCTTGCCCCAGAGCCCCTATCTATGCCTTGTGGCTAAGAGCCACTGATGGACCTCTGCTCCATATGCTTATCTAATTCCCTTTTGAAGCCGTCCATGCTTGTAGCCGTCATACCAGCAGCTGCATGTGGGGGAGTGGGAAATCAAACCCGGTTCTCCCAGATTAGAGTCTGCACTCCTAACCACTACACCAAACTGGGCAGATCTGCTCAGCCCAGCCAGGTGCATTTTTCTGGTATAAACTAGAGGTCACTTTTTGCTTTTTGTGTTGGTTAATTTAGAAGAAGAAGAGAAGAGATTGGATTTATACCCCGCCCTTCACTGGGAGTCTCAGAGCGGCTTACAAACTCCTTTCCCTTCCCCTCCCCACAGCAGACACCCTGTGAGGTGGGTGGGGCTGAGAGAGCTCTTGACAGAAACTGCTCTTTTTCAAGGACAGCTGTGCCAGAGCTTGTGACTGACCCAAGGGCACATCAGCCGGTGCCAGTGGAGGAGTGGGGAATCAAACCCGGTTCTCCCAGATTAGAGTCCGCGCACTTAACCACGACACCAAACTGGCTCTTAGTCACTTAGTGTGGTGCCTGTTGGCCTGTTGGCCCCTTCTGGGATGGTTCTCACCACCTCTGGAACGCTCTAAAAGCTAGAAATGACAAGAGTGGTGTCCTATTGATTTAGGTGTTTCGAGTCCGCTTTTCTGCACAGAGAGGACCCATAGCAGTTTTCATCATCTTTCTCCCCTTGGCCATTTTATCCTCATTAACGACTACCTGGTGAGAGCCAGCATGGTGTTGTGGTTAAGAGTGGTGGACTCTAATCTGGAGAGCCAGGTTTGATTCCCCACTCCTCCACATGCAGCTGCTTGGGTGACCTTGGGTCATCCACAAGTTCTCTCAGCTGTTCTCTCAAGAGCAGTTATCTCAGAACTTTTTCAGCCCCACCTACCTCACAGGGTGCCTGTTTTGGGGAGAGGAAGGGAAGGAGATTGTAAACCCCTTTGGGACTCCTTAGGCTAGAGAAAAGTAGGGTAAAATCCTATTCTTCTTCTACCCTATCTGGTGAGTTAGGTTAGGCTGAGTGTGTTTGACTCACTGAAAGTCACTTGGCGAGCTCTTATTTCAAAGCGGGGATTTGAATCTGTGTCTCCTGGACACAGCACTCTGACCACTACAGCCTGCTGGCTATAAAACCACCGTGGAAAAGAAGCAAGATGTGAATTGTCATTCAGTCCAAACGTCCTCCAGAACAGAAATGTGAGGCAGGAAAAGGGGCTGTGACTTGCACCTCTGCGTTGTCCCTTTACACTGTATGTGTGCTGCAGACTAGGTAATTTCTACACCACTTAACGTATCAACAGCTCATGTTTTGTTTCAGCTCTGTTTAAGATTCCCGTTTTTCTGATTTCTGTAGTCCAAGCCCTGTGGTATTGCTCATTGGAAGTCCCATCCTATTGGTTTGGTTTACGCTATGTAATCTGCCAGTTTGGTGTAGTGGTTAAGTGCGCGAACTCTAATCTGGGAGAACCGGGTTTGATTCCCCACTCCTCCACTCGCAGCTGCTGGATGACCTTGGGCAAGCCGTAGTTCTCTCAGAGCTGTTCTTGGAAAAAGAGCCGTTCCTGTCAGAGCTCTCAGCCCCACCTGCCTCACAGGGTGTCTGTTGTGGGGAGGGGAAGGGAAAGGAGTTTGTAAGCCACTCTGAGACTCCAAGTGAAGGGTGGGGTAGAAACCCAGTCTCCTCCTCTTCCTCCTCCTCTTTCGCCTCAGTGGAGAGGTGGACAATATTTAACCAAAATAAAAAAATAAGTTTAAAACATATATGTTTAAATTCAGAGCCAGTGTGGTGTAGTGGCCAGGTGGCCAGCTCCAGTTTGGGAAATCCCGGGAGATGTGGGGTGGGGTGGAGCTTGAGGTGGGTGGGGCTTGGGGAGGGGCTTCAGTGGGACGTGATGCCATAGAGCCCACCTTCCAAAGCGGCCATTTTCTCTAGACGAAGAAATCTCTGTTGCCTGGAGGTCAGCTGCAATCCCAGGAGATCTCCAGCGGCCACCTGGAGGCTGGTAACCCTGTGTAGTGGTTAAGAGCCTGAGAGGTAGGATCTGGAAGATCCAAGTTCGACTCCCTGCTCGTACCGTGGAAGCTCGCTGGGTGACCTTAAGCCCATCACACTCTCTGCCTGGCCTACCTCACTGGGGTGTTGTGAGGGTAAAATGGAACAGAGGAGAATGGAGTAAGCTCCTTTGGGGAGAAATGGGGGATATAAATAAAAGAACAAAGTTTTTGAGTCCAGTTAAGATCAACAAAGTTTAATTCTGGGTATAAGCTTCCATGTGCATGCAAACGTCTTCAGAAACAAAGGTGCCACGGGTTATAAATAAAGTAAGCAAATGAATTTTAAACGAGGTAACGTTTAAGGGGTGTTTAATAACTGACCATGTAAACAGAATATAGTGTAGTGGTTAAGTGTGTGGTTTGATTCCCCACTCCTCTACTTGCAGCTGCTGGATGACCTTGGGCAAGCCATAGTTCTGGTCAGAGCCATTCTGAAAGAGCAATTCTTCTTCTTCTTCTTCTTCTTCTTCTTCTTCTTCTTCTTCTTCTTCTTCTTCTTCTTCTTCTTCTTCTTCTTCTTCTTCTTCTTCTTCTTCTTCTTCTAATAATAATAATAATAATAATAATAATATACTTTATTGTCATTGTACATTGTACAACAAAATTAAAGATGCAATCATTTTGGTGATCTACAACAATATTCATAGACACTCACACACCACTCACTACTGTCCCATAACTCCCTTAAGGTTCACATAACAACTTAAAACCACCAATGTCACCCAAATTCCAATTTCATACAGCATTTAATGCAATAATAGCTCTTGAATAAAAACTATTTTTAATCTATTTGTCCCTGCTTTAATTGTCCCATATCTTCTGCCCGAAGGCAGCAGTTCAAACAGGGAATGTTCAGGATGTGACAAGTCCTGCAAAATGTTCTTTGCTTGTTTTTTCTTGTTCTCGAAAGAGCCCTCTCAGCAGCTACTGCTGCTCCTCCTGCTCCTCCTCCAATATCTTCTTTTCCAAATAGCTCTTATCCTTCCCAAATGAAAGGCAGTTAGCTCAGAGAAGGCGGTGCAAAGAGACTTGGTGGGGAAATAGAGTAATGTGGGGAGAGAGAAGGAAAAAATGAGCAGCGAAATGTCGGTTCTTCGTTAGATAATGATGACCCTTTTGAATGATTAAAAAAAAATCTAGAAGTGGTCCTTCTTGATCTGTGCCCCTCTGGGTTATAGAGAGGAGTTAAGCGGCTGTGGTGGGGAGCGGTGCCATTTTCGATATATCAAATGAGGGCAAAGGCAAAATGAAACCGCCCCGGTGCCTTTCACAAGGTTCCTTGGAGCGAGCGGTCCTTGAGCTGGAGCAACTGTTTCAAGATAGATGGGTAGCGGAAAGACCGCCAAGATCTTGGCATGTGGGATGGAAGGAGGAGGAAGGATTGCACGGTCCAGAACTCCTTGGGTGTTTTGGGGTTTTTTTGGCCTTCCAAGTCACAGCCAACGTATGTTAACCTGGTAAGTTTTTCAAGGCAAGAGACATTTCCAGGGGTGGTTTTGCCCTTGCCTGCCTCTGCGGAGCGGCCCTGGACTTCCTCCGTGGTCTCCCATACTAGCCAGGTCTGAGCCTGCTTAGCTTCCAGGTTCTGACAGGATTGGGCTAGCCTGTGCTATGCAGGTCAGGGCCCAGAACGTATAGAAGGGAAGGTAACGATGCAAATGCTTGTGCCGTAATGTGAGAAGTAGACCACGTATCTCTGTTTTCTTATCTTGAGAGATCTCTACCCTGCTTTTCTCCCAGTCCAGAGGAAGCTCACAACATTTCCCCCCCCCCATCCTCCTCACAATAACAACGCTGTTAACGTAGGTCGGCCTGGGGGAGAGCGTGACTGGCCCAAGGTCACCCAGCGGGCTTCATGGCAGAGCAGGGTCTCCCAGGTCCTTCTCTGGCCCTCTGGCCACCCCGGCCTGCTGGCTGTCCTGCTTTTAGAGCACTTCTGAGTTAGGCTAAATGCGTGTGTGTGTGCCTCTGATTGCAGTACGGCGTACACGCGCACCATCTCAACACGTGTGGCTCCCGTTAGGGCCGCGGACGGCCTGGAATAATAAAAAAAAAAGCCCCGCCCCTTCCACGGAGGCGTGAAGAGCCTCCACTGCCTGTTTCCACACAGGAAATCCTCTGCTAAAAGGGCAGGGCTTTTTTCTCCAGGCTGTTGGCAACTCAGGCTCCAGTGGGCGGTTCTGTTTTCCCAGGACGATTGCATGTCTACGGTGGGATGAAGGTTGAAGGTCTGAGGTCTGTGGGGATAAAGACCCACCTGCACAAACTTGCAGGAATCCCTCCTAGTGGCCGTTTGCGCTCAAACCTGTGCTCTGGCTTCAGCTGTCGGTCGATGATTGGCATGGCCAGAATAAATGCACGCATCCGTATTTATCAAAGAGAGAAGTCTCACTTTTGTCCGGGCCTTGCAATGGCCTTTTAGCGATTAAATGCATCTTGCTTTGCCTGTCCCGCTTCATTAATGCTGGCAAAGTGTTGTATTAATATGTTGTCGAAGGCTTTCGTGGCCGGAGTTCATTAGTTGTAGATTTTTCCAGGCTGTCTGGCCGTGGTCTTGGCACTTGTAGGACCTGACGTTTCGCCAGCGGCTGTGACCGGCATCCTCAAAGGTATAACACACAGCCTGGGGAACTCCTACGAGATAATGACTCAGCCCTACCACATCTTCCTGAGTAGATATGAATTACCTGCCTACTATTTTTCTTCTCACCTTGACACAGAGAGTCCTCCATCTTTCTGTGTTATACCTCTGAGGGTGCCAGTCACAGCCGCTGGTGAAAGGTCAAGTCCTACAGTGCCAAGACCACGGCCACACAGCCCGGGAAATCTACAGCAACTAATATTGTATTAATATCTCTTATGGAAGCTGTGAAACTTGTTTCTTAAAGCGAAGGCATCAGTTTCTGTTCTTTCTGTCCCCAGGAGTTGGCTTGATTTAATAAGGCGTGGGAAATGGAGTTTGTGGGTGAGGAGTATACTGGTTTCCTTAGTTGTAACATCAATTGTAATGCCCTTGGTTGTGTTACCATCTTAGTTCTTCATATGCTGTCCAGAGTTGGTTGCAATATGATTCAGCTTCCTCTGTCTTTTCCTCCCTGTTTTGGCTTCGTGTACACAGCTCGTCTGTGGCTAAAGCTCCGGAAGGAATCCCTTTCTGGGTCTGAGCAGAGAGGAATCTGTGTCCTCCTCTTAGAACTGACGGCTTTCAGTCTAAATTGCTTTTTTTATACCGTATATATATATATTAAAAAGGTGCCTTTTCTTTTGGCTAAATACGCCCTTCTGTTTTCCCTCCCTAGATCATCCCCGTGGACAAACTAGTAAAAGGAAAATTCCAGGATAATTTTGAATTTGTTCAGTGGTTTAAGAAGTTTTTCGACGCAAACTACGACGGGAAGGACTACGACCCGGTGGCGGCTCGGCAAGGCCAGGAAACGGCAGTAGCTCCACCTCTCGTGACACAGGTTCTGAGCAAGCCCAAGAAGAACCTGGGCTCTGGCGGCACAGGTACCTCAGACGCTCTGCTGGCTGGGCTCCGGCACCCTCGTCTGCCTCAGATTTTGGTCATTTGTGGCCCGATGCTTTAGTGACCCTTTGTGGGCAAAGGAACCACAGTCCCCCGGCTGCTTTGGCCAGAATCCTAGAGTCAGAAGGGACTCCCCAGGGTTTATCTCGTCCAACCCCCTGCACAATGCAAGAAATCCACAAATACCTCCCCCTCCACACCAGTGTTCCCTCTAAGCTGTGGAGTCCTGTGAGCAAGAATTCTACTTTGGTGAGCTGCTGGCATTAAAGTTGTGAGCGAGCGATTTGGCTGCGGCACAAACCAGTTTGCTCTGGAGCCCCCTCCTTCCTGAGCGAAGACAGGAATGTGTGAGCTGGAGGCTAAAAAACTGTGCGCTGGCTCACACTAACTCAGCTTAGAGGGAGCACCGCTCCACACCCTCCAGTGACTCCTGTTCCATGCCCAGGAGATGACAAAAAATCTTCCAGGATCCCTGGCCAGACTGGCCTGGAGAAAAGACTGCTTCCTGACCCCAAAGTGGCGATCGGCGTTTCCCTGGGCGTGTAAGAAAGGGCCCCATGAGAACTAAGCCCTGAGGCGACCCTCCCTGCCCTCCCTCTCATGATCTGCCCAAGTTCACAGAATCCACATTGCTGTCAGGTGGCCATCGAGCCTCTGAGTGAAAACCTCCAAAGACAGGGAGAGCCCACCGCCTCCCGGGGAAGCCTGTTCCACTGAGGAACGGCTCTTAATTGTCAGTTAGTATTAAGCACTCTCCGTGGTTGGGTGGGGAGGGGCTGTAGGCCCGTGGAAGAGCCTTTTCCTTGCATGCAGAAGGTCCCAGGTTCAGTCCCCCGTGTTCCCAGTCAAAGGGACCAGGCAAAAGACCTTCCTCTGCCTGAGACCCTGGAGAGCGGCTGCCAGTCTGAGTAGACAAGACTGACCTTGATGGACCGGCGATCTGATTCAAGGCAGCTTCCTGTATGATCATGTAATTGTATTGCGTGGGTATCAGTGTGTAATCTGTGCCCACCTCTCGAGCGGTTGGCATGCTGAGGTTGGGGCGTGTGAGAGCGTGTGCCCGTGCCGTCGCAGTTGCACAGCCCTGTGGAAATGCATGCCGCCGCTCGAATGCGGCCGTTTCCTCTATTTCACTGCTATCAAGCAGGAAACGCCACACCTTGTGATGGTTACTGCGTTTTACTCCTGCTCCTCCAAGAGCAGGTGGGTGTGGGGAGTGTTGGCTCGTGTGTCAGGTGGCGCCAGCTGCTCCCGTTCTGGGAATGCACAAGGTGTTTTTTTTGGGGGGGGGGGTGAGCACGTAACAGCCAGAACTGCTCTGCCCTTTTGTAGATAACAGTTACGTGGGGACGTCAGAACTGAAGGCTGCCAGAGCCGATTCCGCTGGTTCCTTAAGAAGAACAGCCACCGTTGGTACTAAGACGACCTTTCAGGGAGAAGGCCTTTCCTTAACTGTCCTTTGGGGCTCTAGAGGGGGCTTTCCTGCTCTGAGGATGCAGAACTCCACACTTTGGGTGCTGCTCTTTTCTACCGGTTGATATCGATCAAGAGCACTTGGGTCTGTCTGCTTTTAGGCTGCCGCTGATGCGCTTCTGTCTTTCAGCTCCGACACGACCCATGGTTGCACAGAGAACAACGGTGGCTAATAAGACCGGACCTGGAATCATTAAAAAGGCACCAGGAGGGATTGGGGAGGATGAATCTGCTGAACTGGTCCAACAGGTGCGTTTCTGGTCGTGGCGAACAACGGGTTTGGAAGTGGGACAAGAGGGGGGGGTGAAGGGCTGCTTAACACTCGGGGCGTAAGCATTGGGAAGGAAGCTGCTGTTTTAGCTGCTGGGCTCTTACAGTTGCACACTGTGACGGGTTCTAGTCTAACGGAGTACAGCGAAAGGTTTTATTGGCTGAATAAAGCATCGCCAACGACCAGCACCTTGAAACTGCACAAGAAGGTGGGGTGTGGAGATACAATGTTCCCTCTAAGCTGCGGAGACTTGTGAGCAAAAACTCTACTGGCATTAAAGTTGTGAGTGAGCGATGTGGCTACTGCATAAATTAGTTTGCTCCGGAGGCCTCCTTCCTGAGCTGAGACAAAAATGCGTGAGCTGGAGGCTAAAAAACTGTGAGCTAGCTCACACTAACTCGGCTTAGAGGGAACACTGGTGGAGAAGTGACGCCTCCCCCCCCCCTTCAGAAGGGTGTGTTCCAGTCTGCTGGTCCTGTGCTCATTTTGAATCATCGAGTCAGAAGGGACCTCCGGGCTCGTCTAGTCCAACCCCCCTGCGCAATGCAGGAAATTCACAAATACCTCCCCCCCCCCCGCACACCCAGTGACCCCTGTTCCATGCCCAGAAAATGGCAAAAAAAACCCCCCAACCTCCCAACCCAGTGACCCCTGTTCCATGCCCAGAAAATGGCAAAAAAACCCAACTTCCAGGATCTCCTGCCAAAGTGACCTGGAGAAAAACTGCTTCCTGACCCCAAAGTGGCGATCGGCATTTGTCGGGTTAGAACAGATAAAAGGAAGTCCTTCTTCACCCAAAGAGTGATGAACACATGGAATTCACTGCCACGGGAGGTGGTGGCGGCTACAAGCATGGACGGCTTCCAAAGGGAATTAGATAAGCATATGGAGCAGAGGTCCATCAGTGGCTCTTAGCCACAAGGTATAGATAGGGGCTCTGGGGCAAGGGATGCTCTGTCTTCTTGGTGCTTGGGGGCGGGGGACAACAGTGGGAGGGCTTCTAGTGTCCTGGCCCCACTGGTGGACCTTCTGATGGCACCTGGTACTTTTGGCCCCTGTGTGATACAGTGTTGGACTGGATTGGCCTTTGGCCTGATCCAACATTGGCATCTCTTATGTTCTTATTTCCCTGGGCGTGTAAGAAAGGGCCCCATGAGAACTAAGCGCTGAGGCAGCCTTTCCCACCATCCCTTCTCGTGATCTGCCTCAGTTCACAGAATCAGCATCGCTGTCAGACGGCCATCGAGCCATTTTCCCTCTTTGGAGGAAAGCTTCCATGAATGTGTCAGATGGTGGTGTTTCATGGGCAGCAAGGCTGTGTTCCCCTTGGTAAATAAGTAGGTGACAGTGGGCATGTTTGTGGTTTGCCTGGGACCTCTGAGTTCTAAAGGGGATGACTGAGGGCAGACACGATAGAGGTTTGTAAAATTATGCCTGGGGGTGGAAGGGAGTGGCCAGAGAACTTTCCCTCCCTCTCCCGTAATACTAGGAGCTTGAGGGCGTCTGATAAAGCGGATGGCCACTAGACTGAAAACAGACAAAAGAAAGTATTTCTTTCCTCAGTCAATAATTAAATTGTGGGATTCACTGCAGGTGGATGTAGTGGAGGCCACAGGCATGGATGAATAGGTCCTTCAGTAGCTGCTGGCCGTGGTGATGAAAGCGAGCCTCCATGCTTAGAGGCAGCAGAGCGCTGACTGCCAGTGCTGGTCGCCAGCATCAGGGAAGGCCTTGGCCTTTGTGCCCTATTAATTGGTCCAGCCCTTTGGCGTCCATCGAAACCAGTGCCCCCTCCTATCTTGGTTGAGGGCGAGGAACATTCTGAGATCTCTAAGATCAAACGTGGAAAGTTGATGTATTTGGTTGAATGGTCAGATTTCGGACCCTGGCACCTCGAGTCGGTGGAAGTAGGGGATATTCGGGCCCCTCGCCTTTTGTGGAAGTTTCATCGGGACCTCCCGGAATGCCCGGGGGACCTCCCGGGAGAAGCTGATTTTCGAGGGGGCAGTATGTCAGCTAAGCTGTCATGGAGGTTGGGGACGTAATCTAATTGCCATCGCATTCCTTCTGTGCTTCTTCGCTGCTGTAACGCTGATCTCTAAGTTCTGCAGGTAGTGGGATGTTGATGTCTAGTTCCAAGGGAACCGTGGGAGCGAGCTTGGTTCCCAGCTTCAGTGCAAACGGCCAGAGCACCTTCTCCTGCATGCGGGAGTGTGGCTAGTTGGCCAGAGCAGTGGGGTGTGTGTGCATACGAATACCCTATATCCTATTATGCCCCATGGGCAGCCGCCATTCTTAACAGTGCCTATGTGAATGCATCTATAGCTAAGAACATAAGAACATAAGAGATGCCAATGTTGGTTCAGGCCAAAGGCCCATCCAGTCCAACACTCTGTCTGTCACACAGTGGCCAGAAATACCAGGTGCTATCAGGACGTCCACCAGTGGGGCCAGGACATTAGAAGCCCTCCCACTGTTGACCCCCCCCAAGCACCAAGAAGACAGAGCATCCCTTGCCCCAGAGCCCCTATCTATACCTTGTGGATAATAGCTACTGATGGACCTCTGCTCCATATGCTTATCCAGTTCCCTCTTGAAGCCGTCCATGCTTGTAGCCGCCACCACCTCCTGTGGCAGTGAATTCCAAGTGTTAATCACTCTTTGGGTGAAGAAGTACTTCCTTTTATCCGTTCTAACCCGACCGCTCAGCAATTTCATGGAGTACCCACGAGTTCTTGTATTGTGAGAAAGGGAGAAAAGTACCTCTTTCTCTACCTGCTCTTTCCTATGCATAATCTTATAAACCTCAATCATGTCACCCCTCAGTCGTCGTTTCTCCAAGCTAAAGAGCCCTAAGAGCCTTAACCTTTCCTCATAGGGAAAGTGTTCCAACCCTTTTATCATTCGAGTTGCCCTTTTCTGCACTTTTTCCAAAGCTATAATATCCTTTTTAAGGTGTGGTGACCAGAACTGCACACAGTATTCCAAATGAGGTCTCACCATTGATTTATATAGGGGCATTATGTCTCTTGATCAGTCTCTGCCAGTTTAGACCCCATCAACGTGTATTTATATTTAGGATTTTTGGCTCCAATGTGCATCACCTTGCACTTGGCCACATTGAACCCCATTTGCCATGTTGACGCCCACTTGCCCATCTTTGACAGATCCCTTTGGAGTGCCTCACAATCCTCACGGGTTTTCACCACCCTGAACAACTTCGTATCATCCGCAAATTTAGCCACTTCACTGCTTACTCCCAACTCCAAATCATTAATGAACAAGTTAAAAAGCAGTGGACCAAGTACTGATCCCTGCGGTATCCCACTGCTAACCCCCTCCTCTGAGAGAACTGCCCGTTTATACTCACTCTCTGTTTTCTATTAATTAGCCAGTTTTTGATCCATGAAAGGACTTGTCTTCAATAAAGACTAGCTCTTCAATAAATTATTACCTTTCCTGATAAGCGTGTACTACGTTGTTGGCTGTGAGTTCTGACACTGGGCGACTGGCCAACTGTGTACAACAGGAGGCTGGACTAGGTGGACCACTGTTCTTTTCTGTTCTCTGTTCGAGTAACAAACCTGACCTGAAACACTCTCAACGTAAACTGATTTGTCCTTAACTCAACGAATCAACTGAAGCATCGTCGCTTTTCAGCGGTAGATTAAATTTTGCACGCCTGTTCTTTCCCCCAATATAATCTATTCAGTTTTCACAATTCCAATAACAAGTGATAACAGTCGTTTACAGGATAAATGTACGTAAACTTAACAGCATGAGAGCATTTTTTCATAAGCTTAGTGTTGACATCAACGTTTACCACAAATGAAGAGTGTCTGTTATCTCTGTTCTTGATGCCTCACCTAGCAGGACGGAAGCCTTCTCAACTTTGGGAACGGGAGTCGTCGTGACCCATGCATTTGCTGTTTGCTTGCCACTTGGCTGTTACAGTAAACGGCCGCCAAAGTCTGGGAGGGGAGGGAGCTTTGATTAATTGTGACAAGAGGGGTAATTGAGTACGGTGGTGTTTTTGGTTGTTGTTTTTTTCCCATCCTCTCGCTATGATTAAAAAAAAACCCACTGACTGGTTCCTCCTTGGCAGATCAATGTATTAAAATTGACTGTGGAAGACTTGGAGAAGGAAAGGGACTTCTACTTTGGGAAGCTGAGGAACATAGAGCTGATTTGCCAGGAGAATGAAGGGGAAAGCGACCCCGTCCTGCAGAGGATCGTGGAGATTCTTTATGCTACAGATGTAAGTCTGCCGTTTCTTTATTTACCCTTGAGCTTTTGATGCAGACATCGAAGAGGATGCATGTTCTCGAATCCAGGGGTCATTTCATAGAAAAAGAGGTGCAGGAGCTCATTAGCATAACTCATTAGCATAACTTATTTGCATATGCCACGCCCCCCTGCCATCACCGGAAGTGTGTCAGAAGGCAACACCCACCGCTCAGGCTCTACTGGACTCTTTTGGATTGCTAGCTATTGTGGGGGGGGGACGTGCAGAACTGTCCTTATAGAGGAGGGAGAGCTTGCACCCGAATAAAACTTGACCTTAAAGGTGCCACTGGACTGTTTTGGACTGGGGGGGGCTCTGCAGCTTACCTGGCTGCTTCTTGCTCTGATTGAGGGCTGCTGGGAGCGGGGGGTGGGGCTTGTTGCATGTGCCCGCCCCCTGGGCTCTTTACTGCTGGAGCTCCGCTCCTGTGCGCTCCTGCAGGAAATGACCCCTGCTCGAATCTGTTAAAGAAGAGCTTGGGGTGCCATCGGCTGTGTCACGACCAATGTTCCCTCTAAGTTGTGGAGTCTCGTGAGCAAAAATTCTACTCTGTTAGCTACTGGCATTAAAGCTGTGAGCAAGTGACTTGGCTACTGCATACATTAGTTTGCTCTGGAGCCCTCCTTCCTGAGCTGAGGCAAAAGTGTGTGAGCCAGAGGCTAAAAAACTTTGAGCTAGCTCACCCTAACTCAGCTTAGAGAGAACACTGGTCACGACTCAGGTGGGGTGTCACCTGACGCTGCCACCACTCTGGATTTAGGATCCCTTGAGAAGGCCCCGAGCACCCTCCCAAGACCTTCAGACCTCCCTTATTTGGCCAAATAATAGATGTGAGGACCAGGCAGAGTAAACAACAAATAAAAGGTTTATTTTTACAGGTCAGCCCAATATGGGAAACAAACAAGGTGCAAGAGCAATAGCAATAAGTGAGTGAAGAGAAAAGAAACCAAATGTCCTAACACCACTAGACTCACAGTCCCTAGTCCACTGTCTCAGTGGGGCCTGAGTCTGCTCACTCTTCCTCTCAGGGTGAGGGTCTCTCTCAGCAGCAGTCTTCCCTCTGGCCCTGCCCTCTGGGAAGAACGAACAGCTCTCCTTCTGTACCAGCTCTTTTGTTATAAGTCCCCTTTCTCTGTGGTGGGCTAAAATTGGCGCCAAAACCTCTCAGGGGCTTCTGGGAGTTGTAGGCCTGGCCTCCTCCCACTGCTACTCAGGCTCCCTGGGCCTGCTAGGCCTTTGCTTGCACAGCCCAGATCATGACAGGCTGTCTTGCACAAGCCCCACTGAAATACACAGAAAGCGTGTAAGAGCATTGGATGTGGTCTTGCATGCTCCCAAGGGGCTCATGTCAATATTGTTCTTAATGGACTGCTAAACTGTGGTCACCGATTTCGTGGGTCCGAATTATGGCTGGAGACCAAGAGTCACTGTTTTCTTGAAGTATTTATGGTTGTGTTCAGTAAACGAGGGTCAGAGACGGGCGGCAGAGCTCAGCGCTTCAGTGTTTGCTCTGTTCAGTGCAGGTTGACAATAAAACGTATTATGGCTTGAGTGTATCTCGAAATTGCGTGTGTGACTCAGCCCCAGAGCCAGTTTGGCATAGTGGTTAAGTGCGCAGACTCTAATCTGGGAGAGCCGGGTCTGATTCCCCACTCCTCCACTTGCACCTGGCTGGATGACCTTGGGCAAGCCATAGTTCTGATAAGAGCTGTCCTTGAAAAAGAGCAGTTTCTTTCAGAGCTCTCTCAGCCCCACCTGCCTCACAGGGTGCCTGTTGTGGAGAGGGGAAGGGGAAGGAGTTTGTCAGCCGCTCTGAGACTCCAAATGAAGGGCGGGGTATAAATCCAATCTCCTCCTCCTCCTCTTCGTCGTTGTCTTCTTCGCGGAGAACATGGTGTCCTGCAGTTGTAACATTTCCCCCCCTGTTTCTCTTTCCTCTTCCCTTCCAGGAAGGCTTTGTGATACCCGACGAAGGAGCGCCGCAGGAAGAACAAGAAGAATATTAACAGACCCGCCCACTGTACCAGCAGAGCAACAGCAGAATTCCGAAATCAGAATTCTTTTGCCCCAATCATGTGCTTTATCTGTAAAACTACTCCATTTTATTCTTAGGACTCACTGGTTTTCTTTTCATAAGTAAACAAAAAAAAAAGTACCTCTTTCAAGTGCACTTTGCGTAAGTTTTACTACTTCCCCCTCCCCTTCCATTGGGTTTTTATTTGAGAGCTCTTTTCCCTCACTTCCTGTAAGCAGAGCAGTATTAACATCGAGTGGGTGTCATTTGGAAGCAAGAGGTCGAGTATGTGGAGTCGGCAGAGCGGCTCGGGTGCTGGCGAGGGGCTGGTTTGCGGAGGGCTTGCTGTACTGTGTTGTGCTTTGGGGGGGGGGGAGGGCAGGGCGGGGGGAGAGTTGTGTAGCAAAGTTAATTTCAGGAGTGACTTTGTTTTTTTTCTTGCGGGAAGGCGGAGCAAACACGGAATTGTTTTCTGCAGTGAAAAGGAAGATGCCTTAAGGGGGCTTGAAAACGTGCTTCCAGATGCCAAATTCTATGACGGGAAGTTCGATGTGCTCTAAATTGGGGTCGGAGAGCCCCGCGTGGCTTTCTTGTTTTGGAAGGAATTTGCTGAGTCTCTTGCGCGAGGGCGAAAGGGGCCGTTTAAACGGGGCCCGTCCGTGGCCCTGCTGGCTTTCGGAGGGGCGAAACTTTGCTGCCACCCCTCTGGGCTACAGTGGGGTGCGTTGGGGCGTGTGAAGCTCTCCCTGTCTTGCTGCACTGGGCCTGTGGGGAGGAGAGTGAGTGAATCGGCCAGGCAGGCACGTGTATCTTCCAAAGCAACAAGGCCGAGGTTTTGAAACCCTTTACCTGCATATATCTATGCTGCCCCCTTGTTCCTCTCCCGCTTTTGTGTGTCTGGTCCACTGAGTTTTGTGGGTCCTTCTGTTCCTCCCTGCTCCCCTCCCCTCCCCTCCCGACTTGCTGCTTAAACCCGAATGGATCGAATGGCTGGTTTGCAGTGTGGCACTGAGAGCCGTTCCGATCCGTGAGCCGTGGCATCCTTGTTGAGTCCAGCTGTTAGCCCGTGGCCCTCTCCAGGGCTCCAGATGGGTTAATGGGGCACGGGGGGAGAATGAATCAGTATGTATCGGATAGGAATGTGAATGTTGCAGGCGATATTGCAGTGCTTGGGATGAATTTTGACACGAGCAGTATTTCCTACTTGACCCTGTCCCGCCCCCCTCCTGTCCGTGAGCAAACAGCCCTCTCCCCTCAAATCGCTGCTCTTTGGGAGGGTCTTTGAGATGTCTGCCCCCCCCCCCGGCCGCAGTCAAGACTTAAGCCTTGGAGCTCGGAGTAGCTCTTGTTCATTTGCTTCTGGTGGTTGTGTTCTAAATGTGTGTAGAAAGCAGAGCGGTCCCCCCCCTCCCCCGGTGACTGTTGTGTAGTGCATGAACCCCAAGGGAAAAAAACAGAGAGGTCAGAGGAAGACCGAAAACGAACCGAATGCCAAAAAAACGCAAGCCATTAATTTCAGACATCAGAGGTGCTATTTCTCTCGTGGCCTTCTAGATCCTCTATTCCACTCACTCCTCTTGACAGGGTTTTTTCTACTTTTAAACAGTTTCTAAATAAAGTTCTGTTTCAAGAATGCCGTGTCTGCTGGAGTGTCGTGTTCTGGTGGGGGTTGGTTCCCGGCGTGGCCCGAAGGCGTCTCGCACCCTTCGGCACGAAGCCTTTGCAACTCTTTACCCTTGGTGCTGGAAGTCACTGCTCCGTTCTCACTGCCCTGAGCTTCTGGAAGTGGCTGGTGGTATGCTCGGTGGTTTGGGAGAGCGTTCTCCAGGAGGACCCCCTGGGATGGAGCCCTCCTAATAGCCTTTGCCAGTAAGGGAGTTGAGTAACAGCCAGGCGTGGGGGTGGTTGTATCTTTGTGGTCGCGTGCATCAAACAAACGCTGTGTCACTGGTCACTTCAGTTGTTGGTCCCTGTCTGTCTTTCTGTCCGCCATCAGTGTCTCTTGTATGAAAGGGCTAATTGCCACGAGGCCTTACAGGCATTCAGGTCCGAGCACCTGCACGACTCAAAAGCAGAAATGTGGAGGAGGCCTTGTGCCAGAGTGTCAGAACGTTGCATTTTAAGCCTCCCGAATCACGTTTGGGTACTAACAAGTGTTGCTAGAATAAACAGTCAAGCTCACAAGTGTGATCTCAGTTTTATTTTGGGTTTCGCCGGAAGCTTTTGAAATGGCACAAAGGCGTTTCTGCTGCTGCTACTCGGCGCCAGATGAAAATGCATCACTTCTCAAAAGCCAGGCGCAACGCTTCTTCCTGCAGATTAAGCCTCCCTGGGGGCGAGGGGCTTTCGTTAGCTCCTGGGCCAAGGCTGCGGCGGCGGGCTTCTCCAACAACAGGGGGAGTGGCGTGTGGGGTAGGTTGGCCAGTGTAGTGGAAACAGCAGTGGCCGGAAGGGGCTGCAGTCCTCAACGTGTGGCTTCTTACTTGCCTGCTTCGGGCGACCAGTAATGTGGGTCCATTCTGCCCTGTGGGTCCATTCTGCCCCCTGGCCGCATGTTTGACACTCCTGCGTTAGATGCTGTTGGGGAGAGGTGGGGGCCTCTGCTCCCTAACATGATGACGTCACTTCTGAGTGACGTCATCACGCAGGGGACTCCCCACCCCCTCCAGTCACACACCCCAAAGTCCCCCACTGGGACCTGGCAACCCTAGTGAAACCTTTCATGTTAGGAAGAACTGACAGTTATAGGGGTTCCCAGGGGTCATTTCGTAGAGAAAGAGGTGCAGGAGCTCATTAGCATGACTCATTAGCATAACTCATTTGCATATGCCACACCCCCTGACATCACCGGACGTGTGTCAGTAGGCAACACCCACCACTCAGGCTCCACTGGACTGTTTTGGATTGCTAGCTATTGGGGGCAGGGGGGGAACGTGCAGATTTGTCCTCACAGAGGAGGAAGAGCTTGTACCTGAATAAAACTTGGTCTTAAAGGTGCCACTGGACTGTTTTGGACCGGGGAACTTGGGGGGAAGGGCTCTGCAACTTACCTGGCTGCTTCTTGCTCTGACTGAGGGCTGCTGGGAGCAGGGGGGTGGGGCTTGTTGCGTGTGCCCGCCCCCTGGGCTCTTTCCTGCCGGAGCTCCGCTCCTGTGCGCTCCTGCAGGAAATGACCCCTGCCCCACCAGCCTTCCATGTGGTGCAGTACCACTTGTAGATCTCCCACTCTCTGGCCAGGGGAGTCAGCTTGTAGAGCTAAGTGTGCCCAGGTGTCTTTTGAGAAATCGAGAGACGTCTTCGTGTTTTAATTTCTGAACCAAGAACCTCCCCAAAGAATAGTCGGGATCTGCTGCCTTGGTACAGTGCCGGCTGTGGAGTGCGCTACTGCAGAGAGGATGCCTTTGAGATAAAGAAAGAGGCAAAACCACCTTTTTTTAGTCTTAGCATGTTCTTTCAGATACCTGGCAAGCAAGCACAACAGAACAATACAAAAAACGAGGCGCGTCCTCTGTACCCAACAGCATAGGTCTGTCTTGCAGGAAGAGTTGCGGCAGATTTTTTTTTTTTTTTGAAGCTCCGTTGTTCGGTCTTGCCAGTCTCCTGACACGATTCTTACTTGTAACGGTTGGAATACTACAAAAATAAAAATACGGGAATTTCTGTTCACACACACCTGTGTCCAGAGCATCATGATTTATTTGGCTAGATGAAGGTTTGGACGCAGGTGGGAAAGACTGAAGGTCAAAGAAGACGGGGACAGCAAAGGATGAGATGGTTAGACAGTGTCATAGAGGCAACGAACATGAAATTGAGCCAACTTCAGAGAATGGCGGAAGACAGGAAGGCCTGGCGTGATCTGGTCCATGGGGTCGCGGAGAGTCGGACTCGACTGTGCGACTGAACAACAACGCAGGTGACGGAGGTTCAGAGCCACTTTGTCGGCTAATTCCGCCTTCGCTGCAAGAAGCACGCAGTGACGACTCCTGCTTGGATGCGTGCTCTGGAACTTTTTGCTGCGGCAGCTAGGCTTCGAGTCCGGAAGCCTTGAGAAACACCTTGTGATGGGAAGCGAGCCGCGGATGAGACGGCGAGCGGTTGGGCCACGGAGTCTTCCTCGCAAATGTCCTGGCTGTGAGCCCCAGAAAAGGCTGCAGTCCTATAAATACCTGCTTGTGAGTAAATCCACTGAATGCAACGGGGCTGGATTCTAACTGCATATAGAAGGTTGGGTTGTAATCTTTGAACACAGGAAGCCGCCTTATACCAAATCCCTGAACTTGATGGACCAAAGGTCTTATTGTCAGACTGGCAGCATCTCTCCGGGGTCATGGGCAGAGAAGAGAAGAAGAAGAGATTGGATTTATAGCCCGCCCTTCACTACCCAAAGGAGTCTCAGAGCGGCTTACAAACTCCTTTCCCTTCCCCTCCCCATAACAGACACCCTGGGAGGTCGGTGGGACTGAGAGATCTCTGACACAAACTGCTATTTTTCAAGAAGAAGAAGAAGAAGAAGAAGAAGAGATTGGATTTATACCCCGCCCTTCACTACCCAAAGGAGTCTCAGAGCGGCTTCCAAACCCCTTTCCCTTCCCCTCCCCACAACAGACACCCTGGGAGGTCGGTGGGACTGAGAGAGCTCTGACAGAAACTGCTCTTTTTCAAGAAGAAGAAGAGATTGGATTTATACCCTGCCCTTCACTACCCAAAGGAGTCTCAGAGCGGCTTACAAACTCCTTTCCCTTCCCCTACCCACAACAGACACCCTGGGAGGTAGGTGGGGCTGACAGAGCTCTTGACAGAAACGGCTCTTTCTTTATTAGTTACAATCATCGATCAGTCACGATTGACACTCATAGTTATCAGCACGTTTGCAAACAATAAAATTTCCAGGCAGCATGGCAGGAACCCCAGTCAGGTGGCAGCTGTCTTAGGGCGACCCCGTAGGTTTTTCAAGGTAAGAGATGTTCATAGAATCGTAGAATGTTAAGAGTTGGAAGGGACCTTGCAGGTCATCTAGTCCAACCCCCTGCACTCTGCAGGAGAGGTGGTATAACTCCCTTCAGAGGTGGTATAACTCCCTTTAGGGCCAGGCCTGCTCCTAGACTGTCGTCTGTGGCTTTCACTGGCAGGTTCGAAACCATCAGCACTCTTCTGTCGTCTGCACACTGGATCGGGCCCAGCTCTGACCCTGCTGCCATATCTGCACTTCAAGTGTCGGTTTCTTGGGAAATGCAGCGTTGGTCTACCCCAGTGGCTCTTTAAGGTATGGGTGTGTTTCAAGAAGCTTTTTTTTTGGGGGGGGGAGTGAGGAATTGTGCCAGATGTGAATAGGGGGAGCCTGCCAAGCAGAAGCCGAAGGTGGAAGAGGGTTAAGGGAAGAAAGGCATTTAGTTCTATGCTGGCAATTTGTTACAGTGTAAGAGAAGACACAAGAGTCCATACTCTGCGTCACACAGTGGCCAAAACCCAGGTGCCATTAGGGAGGTCCACCAGCAGGGCCAGAAGTCCTCCCACTCTTGCCCCCTCAAGCACCCAGAATGCCAAGCACTGCTGCCCCCAGACATAAGGACACAAGAGAAGCCATGTTGGATCAGGCCAGTGGCCTATCCAGCCCACCACTCTGTGTCACACAGTCGCCAAAACCCAGGGGCCATCAGGAGGTCCACCAGCAGGGCCAGACCTCCAGAAGCCCTCCCACTGTTGTCCCCCAAGCACCAAGAACATAGAGCATCCCTGCCCCAGACAGAGTGTTCCCTCTACCCCTTCTGACTAGAATCCACTCATAGACCTCTGCTTCATATAAGAACATATGAGAAGCCCTGCTGGATCAGGCCAGTGGCCCCTCCAGTCTGTGTCACACAGTGGCCAGAACCCAGGTGCCATCAGGAGGTCCACCAGCAGGGCCAGAACTCATAAGAACATAAGAGAAGCCAATGTTGGATCAGGCCAATGGCCCATCCAGTCCAATACTCAAAAATCATGGGATAAAAGGACAAGTCTGTGTCACAAGTCCTTTTATGGATCAAAAACTGGCTAATTAATAGAAAACAGAGAGTGAGTATAAATGGGCAGTTCTCTCAGTGGAGGAGGGTAAGCAGTGGGGTACTGCAGGGATCAGTACTTGGTCCACTGCTTTTTAACTTGTTCATTAATGATTTGGAGTTGGGAGTAAGCAGTGAAGTGGCTAAATTTGCGGATGATACGAAGTTGTTCAGGGTGGTGAAAACCAGTGAGGATTGTGAGGCACTCCAAAGGGATCTGTCAAAGATGGGCAAGTGGGCGTCAACATGGCAAATGGGGTTCAATGTGGCCAAGTGCAAGGTGATGCACATTGGAGCCAAAAATCCTAAATATAAATACACATTGATGGGGTCTGAACTGGCAGAGACAGATCAAGAGAGAGATCTTGGAGTTGTAGTAGATAACTCACTGAAAATGTCAAGACAGTGTGTGACTGCAATAAAGAAGGCCAATGCTATGCTGGGGATTATTAGGAAGGGTATTGAAAACAGATCAGCCAATATCATAATGCCCCTATATAAATCAATGGTGCGACCTCATTTGGAATACTGTGTGCAGTTCTGGTCACCACACCTTAAAAAGAATATTATAGCTTTGGAAAAAGTGCAGAAAGGGGCAACTCGAATGATAAAAGGGTTGGAACACTTTCCCTATGAGGAAAGGTTAAAGCGCTTAGGGCTCTTTAGCTTGGAGAAACGACGACTGAGGGGTGACATGATTGAGGTTTATAAGATTATGCATGGGATAGAGCACGTCGAGAAAGAGGTACTTTTCTCCCTTTCTCACAATACAAGAACTCGTCGGCACTCCATGAAACTGCTGAGCGGTCGGGTTAGAACGGATAAAAGGAAGTACTTCTTCACCCAAAGAGTGATTAACACTTGGAATTCTCTGCCACAGGAAGTGGTGGCGGCTACAAGCATGGACGGCTTCAAAAGGGAATTAGATAAGCATACGGAGCAGAGGTCCATCAGTGGCTATTAGCCACAAGGTATAGATAGGGACTCTGGGGCAAGTGATGCTCTGTCATCTTGGTGCTTGGGGGGGTCAACAGTGGGAGGGCTTCTAATGTCCTGGCCCCACTGGTGGACCTCCTGATGGCACCTGGTATTTCTGGCCACTGTGTGATACAGAGTGTTGGAGTGGATGGGCCTTTGGCC